TGCTGCTCTGTCTCTGCTGCTGCACAGAACAGAGTCCCAAAGAACTGGAGTTCACCGGAAGGTTCTGATAACTGAGGCACAAAACTGAAAACACAAGGAATCAAGAGATTGTGATTTTAGGTTTCTATCAAATACAAACTTTTTCTCCATCAGCTGTGGTTTAAATTAAGTTAAATTGAATGTGCAGATTACCATTTACCTGATCTGTGAGATATAAGGCAGACACTGCAGCAAAGTCCTCACTTCACTCTCTTCCTCTGAGCAGCCTCTCAGCTCCACTTGTTTCTTCTCTGGTTGGAGTCTCAGCACTTCCAGCAGGATGGAGCTCTTTCTCTCTGAGAGGTCTATGGTCCAGACTGCAGGAACTGACTGGAAAAATGGCTTCAGTTTTTGAATAACAGCTGAACTTTCTTGAGTTTTGACGTGTTGATACAAATCCAGAAGGATGTTATGTATATCATAGTTAAAAGAAAACAGAGAGATGAGGTTGTTCACTTCATTGTGAACGCTTTCTCCTTGAATGAGAGTAGCTGCTTTCAGGCATAAATCCAGAAACAGCTGCTTTTCTTGTCTCTTCAGTTTCTCATAGCGTCGCTCCTGGCCCTGTAGTCTTGGAGCTCTGTGGGTCCTCCTGAAGCTGCATGATAACAAACACATGTGTCATTGCATGTACTTTAGAACTGTATAAACTTTAAATGTAAAACAAAGTTACAGCTGTTAACACTGTGCTAATGTTAAATATCAAATGCAATTGCAACATTTAATTCTCCACAGCTTTTGAAGGATTTCTGAGAGTACAATTCTGGATCTTGATAAGAGATCAAAGTTCAGATTCAACTGACGTGACCAGGCAAATGAATGAGGCATGCTTGAGCTCACAGCTGCAATGCCGATTTGAAAATATCTGCAGCAAAAGGCAAGCCCACACCAGTCACTGAAAAGATGTTGTGGTTAAATGTGTATTTTTTGTAAAGAAAATGTTCAGGTTCCCTTTCTGTCTCTCAGGGAGCTGGTTTAGTGAGCTGATCAATGCAGACCAGCATCTCTTCCTCTCTCGGTACACACACTGCTGCATGCTAAACGCCCGTCATGTTTATCGTTATGAAACCTATTAAATTGTTTGGATCCTATGTTGTTTGACAACCATTTCCTCTATGAAGTAAACCAGCCTCACTGTCTGTGTCCTCACATCCCGGGACAGTAAGACAGACAGGCAGAGGAATTCACTGTATTGTTTGTAAAGCAGGGTATAGCACGTTACTTTTTTTAATGAAATTAAGATTTATTTACTTTTACAAACAGTGAAGCAGTTGGGCAGCTGACACGTATGTACTGCAGGTGTGAACATGTACTGTGTATGGTTGGACTCTGTGTCACACAGGCAGGTTGCAGTGTAACATCGGAGGACACAGACATTCTCAAATTGCACCACTTAGAACAAACTTGTGAATGCAAAAACAATGCAGAGAGGATTATTCAATCATTGTATTCAATAAAAGCACCCAAAGTAAACTGTATGAAGTAGAGATGGGAATGATTCATCGAATATTCGAAATGATTCAGGTATTCGAATATGAGTTATGAATATTTGTATTGTAATTTTTCTTCTCTTTTTATGGGAGGGGTGCCGAAGTTGATTAAATATTATCAAATGGATTAATTAAATGTATACAACAGTGCCATTTAAAATATCTTAAGAAAAATATCAAGAAAGAAAAAACACGTGTAACGTTACCAGGGGTTAAATTGTGCCGGGGCTCAGCCCCTTTTACTAAAGGTTCATAAATACATAAAAACACAAGCTACATACCTGAGGGAGCTGACGTATGGCAGAGCCTCTAGCAGAGTCTCACGCAGACTGTGGCAGTCAGGGTTCTCCCTCTCCCAGTGGAGGCAGATTTTAACCTTCTTACTTATCTTCTGCAGGACTGTCACTGCTCTTTCAAACAGCTTTCTGTCCCCCTCCACTGGAAGGTGCATCTGATTTCCATCAAGGCCAAGTAAGGTGATGTAGTCCATCTCCCCTTCGCTGAGAAGGAAGATCTCCCACAGCTGCCGTGGCAGAGAATCACACCTGCAATATGAAGAATAATCAGCTATCACTTTCTCATTACTTCTGTATATATTAATATATATATATTAAAGGTTACAACTTTGAACAATTACATTCTACCTAATTAGATGTGTTGTAATCTTAGCAGTAATAATAACTGCTCATCCATACCATTGGACGTTTTGAAGGCATCCTAATAGTGGTCTCATTCCTTGTTGTGACATCGTGACGTCCTCAAGGTTCAGCCATATTTCCCTCTCCTTGGACTGAGTGATCACGTAGGCCACAGCACAGCAGGGGTAAGGATCGAGACTCTCTTCACTGAGATCAAGATGGAAGTCCAGTTGTTCCAGAAGGTCGATGCATGCTTCAGGACACTGGGACTCATACAAGCACTGGCATAGGAACAGTATGCGCCCACTGTCCTCAGTATCAGCCTCATCGTTTCCACACAGACTAGGAAGGAATGTGGATATCACTTCCTTGCAGAACCCGTTTGATGTATTCTTGAGCTCCTCAGGAGGAATCAGGCACTCCATCAAACTACGGCTCTTCTCAGACAACAATCTACACATGTAAGGGATCAGATGTTTCATGTGTTTCTTCTCCTCAGTGAGGCACTGCTGAAAAACATTACTGATTAAATCTGGATTCTTCAAGAGCCACAGTGCTGCAAAAAACTCCTGCATTGTGTAATGGAGAAATGCACAAGTGGTTATTCTCTCAGTAGGGTCGTCTTTGATAACAAGTTGTTTGAGCAAGGAGAGGACACAGCTGTCTCAAAGGGACGTAGTGTCAAGTTCACCGTTTTTCCTTCAGTTGCACGAAAAGCAACTTCAGCCAAAGACAGTATCTCCTTACTCTTGCTTTCGATGAAGGCATCTATGTATTTTGTGTTGCTGTTTCTTTCAAGGCAAAAACGGAAAATGTTGATGTAGATATCCGTTATACAGCAAGGCTTTTGAAAGTCCTCTGATGTCTCGAATGAAAAGCATGCAGCCACCATCAGTGCATACATGGGTACATGGCAAAGCGTTAACAACTCCAAGTTGCTCAAAACCCTCTCCTTTCTTTCACGTAGCATAGCAGATATGTATGTTTTTATGGTCTGCTCACTAAAGCCTTTCACTTCCACTCTGAGTAAGTCCTCAGAAGGAAGGTCTTTTTCAAGGCGGTGTTCATCAGCTGGTCTGAGGGTCAAAATGACCTTGGAGTCCTGCAGCAAATCTTTTTTTACAAGATTCCGCACTACTGGAAAAGAGAGATCTGCGATTCCATCAAAAATGAGTGTAACTTTGTCAGAGTTATTCTTTATGTCCAGTAAGACCTCGTCTTTGCCTTCATCTGGCTCACTGAACTCATTGAAGAGAAGGTCCTCCAGGCTCTTGATGTTGGATATTTTTCTCATGTCAAAGTAAAACATGTAATTTAGCTCCTTGTCATCTTTTTCTGTCCAGAGCTTTAACATTTCAAGAGTGAGTGCTGTCTTTCCAATCCCAGACTTACCAACCAAGAGTATGTGTTTATCTGTTTTAAGCATGTCACTGGGAGAAATGTCTGCTTTGTCCTTAGGGATGTAGGTCCCTAGCTTTTTACAACGGGTCATCCTGCTTTTCTTGCTCTTAAATTTCTTTATTTTAGAGGGAGAATCACTTCCTTGTGTGTCCAATACAAGTGGCATGTACGACAGATCAGGCTTGTTGTTTTCTTCAAACAGATATTTGTTTGCCGTCCAAAACTCTTTTGATATTTTTTGTGCTTTTGACTTCAACTTTGCCTGGTAACGGTGGCACGGTGTTGGGGCTAAAATAAAAACAACAGTGAGTAAGTAAATAAATATTGTAAATTGCATGCTGTACTCTCGTACTAAACAGTGGATGCACATTTCCAGATGACACAGCCCATCAAACATCAGCAATGAAGACGTGACACACTTTCTATATTAGTTATATAACTAAATGACATACCTTGTAGGTAGTTTTTGCTCATTTGTGTGTCTTCCTTGAAAGGGAAGCAGCTGATCCAGTGGGGCAGGTCAAACGTCTCGCTCTCAGCGGAAGCTACAGTCTGTTTCTCAGGGAGAAGGGATGTCCTCCTATGGTTCCTCTTCCTCGTCATGTAAATAATTTCGAGGAATATATAGCTGGCTTTTTCCCCCTTTATGGTTACCGAGTCTAGAAGTTTTCTGTTTTTATCGTAGTCATTCCCTTCTGCTTGTATTAGGCAGATCTCTTCGTCACGTAACACTCCTTGCTGATTCAAGTTCTCTAGAATCACTGACTGATTCTTTAATTTGTTCACAAGATGGGTTCTGGCCCTCCTGACGTACTCTACAGCTGACTGTGCTGTAGAAGCCATGTTGCATTACTTCGGTGTCTTCTGCTTCAACTTCAATGATCTAGAGAACAAAAGAATGGTTGAATGAAATGTAATATGAACTCTTATGTTTAACATCCAAAACATTACAGAAATCTGGAGATCTAAAAGGAATTAAATAAATTCAGGGCAGATAAGAAGAGCAGGGGGGGAGGATTTGGCGTCAATGATACAGTTTTTCTTTAAATAGTTTGGACCTTCTCTTAACTCTATGTGCAATAGGGCTGCACGCTATTGGATAAAAACTGACATTGCGATATTTTGTTCCCCTGCGATATATATTGCGATATGAAAAAATACAGGAATTGAAGAAAAGACAGTTGTTTTTTTCCGCAAACCATCCTTTCTTGAACTTTAAAAACTTTAATTTTTTTAACAATATTTAACCGGATGAAGGATTTTAGTCACAGACTTCTGGATCTTAAGTTATCAGAGCAACAAGCTGAGCTAGCTCGGTTATCCTGCTGTGATCTGATCAAGAATGATTGTGATTGGTGGTTTGCTGTGCATGCAGAGCCTGCATGTCACTCAAGTACCCCTGACATGAGAGCCGTGCGAGTTTTCCTTTTGTAGCAAGCAGCAAAATAATTGTAACATTACGTGTTTGAGTTAATTTGCCTACTTAATATCGCACGTCCTAAAAAAAAAAAAACGCACGTCATGCGATGTGAAAATCGCGCATAACGTGATTATCGTCACGACACGCTATATCGTGCAGCCCTAATGTGCAATGGTTACAACTGTTTCATCCCATCTCTGTCGCACGTATGAAAATTAAGTAACTCACATAAAACATTGAATTCATGCCAACAAGTTTTTAATGTGTCAGTAAACGTGCTAATGCAAACAAAATGGATAGTTGTTTTGTCCTAGTTTGAGCAGTAGGCTACTAGTCAAAACTGTAACATGCTTTTTCACGCCAAGTCAACACTTGAAATGTTCTAACACACAAGTCTCTGAACATATAATCATCCATACATTCACCAACAATACAACATGCGAGCTGTATATCAGAGACACTTACACTGAGGCCTTTAGGTCCACACTGATGAAAGACTTCGTCAGATGTTGAGAGCCTTTTATACGTGATTTTTCCTGATGACAAAAACAACAACAACAAAATAATCAGTAAAATATAATCGAGTCAAAGCAGTTTGAGAAAAAGACTAAAAAGTACTTATTGTGCATGTTTTTCAGATAACAACAAAACCCTACAATGTAATTTGAAGTGAATATTCTTTCAGAAATATACAGTAACAAACCATAAGCTCTGTCCTGGGGAGACCTCTGGACACTGTGGAGGTGGTGGGAGACAGGAGAATGGCAGCCAAGCTGTCCTCCCTGCTGGACAATGTGTCCCCCCCCCCTCCAGGACACCCTGTCCTCACCGTGCAGCTCCTTCAGCGACAGGCTGATATCCCGCAATGTCTCACTGAGAGAGAGAGAGAGACACCACAGGTCCTTCTTTCCTGCAGTGGCCACCACGGCCCCTGGTAGACCCCACACACACATATAACAAAGAATATTAAAGTCCTGTTGTGCAATACTACTTATGTGCAATATATATTTACCGTAAATAGCTGTGAAATGTATACTACCACCTTTTATACTTTCACCTGGCTGCTATATCGCTTAACTGTTATTGTTGCTGGATGTAGATCTTGTAAATTGTGTATCTTTTTTCTTTTTTTTTTTGTATGCATGATTCTTGAGAGATGTTAAAGGTGGGGTAGGTAAGTTTGAGAAACCG